CACATATCAACTGTTATTTTTTTAGAGCTTTGTATCTACGTGAAGACATAGCCAATGAAGGTTTCTGTATGGAAGAAGTTATGAAAAATGCTGAAAAAACCTTTGAAGAATATTTTGTGGCTCCTCCAGGTAAATAAAACTCCTTGCTCTTACCGACGGCCTACGCCAACTTAAATTCCCCAAAGTGAGGAGGCCGCAATACACACCAGCTGTGTCTGCCAACTGAAAACTATCTTAGAATAAATTGTGTGGTGCTTTAAATATTCAATCTATTTATAATAGTGGCACATGTTTATGTAAATTATATTACTCATGGTCATGTGACTGGCGTTGATTCATTTCTGTAAAACCTTTGTCTTATGCAGATGTTAAACTTGTCACAATTGTATTCATATGTGGAGTGAAATTTCTTCAGATAACCGGCATTGTCTCAGCTACATAACTGTGGTGTATTTTGTAAACCAATACCATATCTTGCACCTTAGCTAAACCTGTGCAGGTCACAGAGTTCTACAACTATTGAAAATGTTGGCCAAGGAAGGTGTTCGTCTCCACAACGTGCATCTGCTTCAGAATGGCTGATCATCATTTTCCTGATAAAAATGCATTATGAATGTCTTGTGCAGAATAAAGGAAGGAATTGCACAAATAAACTGGCTCCACTTTGTATAATGTCTGTCACATGAGCGTAAAGCATTATTTGGCACTAATGTTGACAGTCACTAAAAAATAGACAGGTTCTTGTCATTGACGAGCTGTCTTTTTTTCATGTGAAAACTGTGTAAATATGAAAGTTGGGGCGACTGTGAACTCAAAATTAATCTATCGCAAACAACATGGCACCTTATTAGTTACTACTACTTACTACTCTTCGATGAGAATGTTTTCACCAAGCATAAAAAAGATAGTTGTTCCCAAAATTATTAGGCATAGACGACAATGCATGCTGTGATGTTGTCAATCCGATATGTACTCACTGCTTTATCGGGCAGTGTCATTGAAATGGGATTAATCCTCATAACTACTTTGGCGAGCTACACTAATTTCCACTATATACTGGTACAAATCTTCAACTTTCAACAAAGTCAGCTTATGTTATACACTCCACAATTTTTGTTTCTGTCAAACAAGAAAATGCAAGAGAAAGGTTTTTGTTGACATTCTAAATGATTTTGTCT